AGCCGAAGAATGAAAGTTAATGTAAAAATGTACACCTTTTTCATGGATATGGAAACTATGTGACTGGATGCAACCAAGCCCTCTAGTGAGCCGCTAAATAGTTCTTCTGTAGTCCTACCCACTAAGACGATATCAGCCAGGTACGCCGCGGCTCCAGAAACTCCATGGAACATGGTGTCCATCAGCTGCTGAAAGATGTCTGGTGCTTGTTTCACTCCAAAAGCGAGAGGGCTGTATGGCCACAAGCCACGATAAGCGTTGATGGTCAGCAATTCTCATGAGCTTTCCTTAACATCGACCTGGAGGTAGGCAACGAACAAGTCGAGCTTGGCGCAACACTCCCCACCATTCTGCCTGGCAAAGTTATCTTCTGGTATTGAAAACGGTATTGATGATCGTCCATTGCTGAATCTACGCCAGTCGCAAAATCGGCGCAGGCACGCACTTTAACTTTCAGGTTTCTCACAGCAACAATCGGCGCAGCCTATAAAAGTTAATTCACTGGTGTGATGGTATCGGCGCGCTCCTGTCCGTCAAACTCCTGATCAACTGCTGTCATCGCTGCATACTCTGCATTGCTCTAAAGACCGGGCTGGTTTCTTCGCGAAGGCACAAATTCGATTTGAACTTGGTGCAGTAACCGAGACTATGGGCAAACAATGAGGCAAACTACTGCTTTATCTTTCTCGGCACGTTTTCTATCGAGAATGATGCGTCGACTGGATCGGTTTGGAATCCATTGCAAATATGACTCATTCAAATATCAAACAGTTGTAACTCTTCTATCCACTCAGGCTTAAAAAGGTTCAGTTTTAGTCGGTCCGAAACGTAACAGGTTCCACTCTGTTAAAGGCGACTTTGCAGGTTATTTCTCCTTCCAGCTTCAGCACACCACTGGATCCGTTGTAGGCGACTTTGTTTAAATCAACCCTCTTTGGCCTCTTTATGTGCATCTAAGTCTTCGTAGAAATGATCGTAATGTCTAATACCGTAGCAAACTGTAGCCTTGTTAAGATCCTGTTGTTGAGCACAGTGCTGAATCTGCGGGGCGGTCTAGAATCACTGTGAAGAGCGGCAGTCACAATTAGTGATTCTGTGTCAGACTTACTGAAGTTTCTCCTTCGGTGGGCCTGCTTCACGTTTCTTTACAGGGACTGGTAAAAAATGTCTTCTTTGTGGTCGCGTTTATGGCTTTTATCACAAATGTGCCTGTTGATTGGGCAGTAACTTGTAAAGTGCCATTCACTACATGACCAACATGGTGTAGGCTGCTAGTTCGGTTCTCTGTTGAACGGTTTGGTGGAGTCAAAATTTCTTGCCTTTTGCACAGCATGAACAGTATCGGCGCTGCTCAATCATAGTGGTGTCGTGTTACATAGTGATGCACCGTTTGCATTCGCCTAAATGAGGCTTCAATATCAAATCGGGATCTTGATCCAAGTTAGCAAGAAGCCGAATGTGGTTTTCCGGGTCGCGTGAGACTGTACAGTACTGACAAATATGAGATGTAATCTAGGCATTCGTCAAACAGCGTAATTTGAAGTCTTCACTTTTACGGTTAAACATGTCTGCTAGTGCCCCATATTTCCCCGTATCCCGCTTAACCATTTTAAACATTAGTACCGAATGATAAACAATGATGTTGACACACCAAAAGTTTCTTTGCGTGGTGTCACAACGTCGTTGCAAGTGATGTAATGGACTGGATATAGTGGAAAATTCGGAAATGTTCGTTGGTATCGAGCTTGTGGAACAAGAGACGCACTTTCCATGAAGCCTCTTGATGGCTGAAATTCCTCCGGAACATGTATTCCCAGCGTTTAAACCACGCCTCCATAGTGTATTCGGAATGGGCATCATAATGAAATTCAGTACTTGATTTCGTAAGCAGACCAAGAGAAACGGCCTGCCTGTCTCGTGTAGCTACTTTCTTAGACTGTACATGTAAGCACTGCTTCAATCTTTCAAGCAGTTTCATTTGTGCTTCCATATAGGATGTTGCTGAAGAAGCGGCTTCTGATAATCTTCAGAGGAAAGGTTGGTAAGATTTTTGTGCTTTTCCGTAGTCATTGTTAAAACTACAAATTTTTCCGCCACTCTGAATTAAACATCCAAAATTTACCGCAAGGATTCTAGCTCAGCAGTAGAATGATGTTCAATTCAACGACTCTGACCGTAAAAGACGTAATAACAAACACACCGGCAAACGTAGCCAAAACGTTGCCGAATCGTCGCCAGAACGCCGCCGAAACGTTGTACAAATACCCCAGACCTTAGCCCAATATGTAGATAGCCCAAGAGCCTCCAGCTTCTAGAAAACGAAGGTCAATTGGCAAAAGTGGCAGCCTCCTCGCCAAAACCGGGTTTTGGCAATCGCCTGAAGGAAAGGAAGATACTGGTATCTTCGAAATCAATGCACAAGCAAAGATAATCGATTCGTTGCTGACATTAAGATTTTCTTGATGATTTTATCTAATCCCGGCTATTCATACTATTCCAGAGCTTGAGCTCATTAGCAAACAGTAGTGACAGTACTTCAAACTCTCACAGTAGGTCATTGACATAAAGTGTGAAAAGCAACGGCCCTAAAACCGAGGCCTGCGGAAAGCCACCAAGAATAGCTTGTCCTAGCGAAAGGCTACGCCCACGCGTACACAACGTCCACACCTCTCTGGAAAAGCAAACACCCATTTAAGAGCGCCAACAGTTATCCCATACGATCTCAGCTTTATTGATAGTCGTCGATTTGGGACAATATCAAAGGTTTTCAAGTCAACGAAAAGCAAGTCAGTAGCGTGTCCGCTGTCTACTTCTTCATCCCAGCTTCAGGAGCTACATGCAAATTAGTCAGCTACGAAACGCCTTAACATAAACCGCGTTATGCAGTAATAAGAGGGTTACATTTATTCAGAGGAATTTCCACTGGATCTCTGACCATTTATTCAAACAATTTGACCAATACGCTTGTCAAGCTGACAGGCCGGTAGTTCATCGACAATGCACTGTCACCGCCGTTACAAGTCGGGTAGCTGATTGCCTTCGTCCATTCCGAAGGTAAGGCACGGCTGTCGAGCGATATTTTGAGGACGCACGTGAGATGGCCCCTTAATTCATAGGCCAATTCATTCAGCAGCTCGAATGAATTTACTCAGTGCCAGAAGCCTTGGAAGCATTTAACCCTTGTAATAACCTGAATACTTGTGTCTTTGGCATCTGATTTCAGCTAGGCAATAATCGTCAGGGACTTTTGTGACCAGCTCAACCTGAGGTGATGAGGGCTTATGAGCAAGGACACCAATATATTCGCTAAGTTTACAAGAATGATCATAGTGGTGATGTACACGGGTCTCGTCCGCTCGTAGTAACACTGGTATACACGACTTTGTACCGCCGCAACTCTTTACATTGGCAAAGTATTTTGGATGTTACTCGTGTATTATGCCCTTTTAGACATAAGAGGGAGACTTGCGTATCGAATTTGCAAGCCTGGCACTAAACAGCATACACTATTTTTAGTTAGAAAACGCGGCGGGCTGCGTTTTGTGATTGGCTAGCTGAACAACCTCTTCTTGGTGTCAGCTGGGTGGTTTGGGTTTAACTTGTTCTGGAAAATATTTTGGCGGCAGTTTTCAAGGACGTGGTGGGTTTTCCCCGGTAAGCGTACTTTCTATAAAAGCCACAAATGTCTGCTTAGCAACACTGTGTCGAGGCGGTCGTGACTCGCCACAAAATTAAGTCACTGTCCCGTGGATATTTGGAAAATCATTCCCAATCCACGGACACCAATCTTCTACTCGCGCATTACCGACGATATCAAACATTCAAGAATGGAGCAGCACAATTACAAGCACAAAGTACACAGCTACATAAACGTACAAGTACATACTTATATACCCCTACACAAACATACCCTGTGATGGCAAACATATCGGATTTTTGCACATGCTTGATCAGGCATTGTTATGTCAAAAGGATCATGCCTGTAAAAGCGTGCCTGTCCTTGTCGAGCATAAAAGCTTGAATTAACTCGACTACTACGTGGCTGCGTCAACTAAATACTTTTCGTACTGAAGACAAGTAGTCCCAAGATGTTGCTAACATTTATTTTTAACCGCTCAATGGCTATTGTAGGTGCTGGTTGATGAAGCCGCTTGATAAGTTTGCCAGCACTTAGAGCGCTTCCTGAGCAGGTATTTACCTGTATAATCTATCCATGGAGGTTGTGGCCGTGTCTTCATTTTCTTATTTTATAGGATGTAGAGAACAGAGATCTCGGTGAGGTATGCCTTAAACGTCTCCCAGATTGACTCAACGGTGTCAGCACCGGAAATCGCACAACGCAGAACTGAAGCTTTGTCTTGCGTTGCAATAAATTCTGCCCGCCAAATATTTGGACATGCCTCGGCGGTAGCCCGATGAAACGTAGTGAGAGCGCATCGAAAATATGCAGACATGGTCACTGGCTTTTAGAGAACAGCCGTATGTAACATCACTTACGAACTCGTGCTACTTCGCAAAATTGAGATGCAAGGTAGACGGAAGCTAGTTGCTCATGTATATAGTCGGAAGGTCCACGAACTGATACAAAGGCAGTTGCAGCCTTACCTCAAGGAGATTTGAACTGAAGGTGCCCACCGCCAAACTGCGAGATAGATCAGCCCAACAGACCTTAAGTAGGTTAGAAGCACCTAGTATTATACACCTATTGGCAGCCTGAGTACGAGTAAACTCAGTAACCTTCTTGGAGATAAATTTCGAAGATCCATATATGCTAAAAACAAATGTGAATATTTTAGAGGAAGTGCACACAGTAGTCGAAAGTGCTTCAACAGTTTGATTCTGCGACTGGAAACTAAAGGACATCAACACATCTAGATGTACAAGATGTATCCTTAAGAAGCGTGCATGACACGTTGGAATATTCCAATGCGGTAAGATTTCTTCTCGGTCATGTATACCACAACTAAATTGCGTATTCCACATGTGAACTTATGTTTGATCCAAGAAGTTGTAAAATGTTTTATGGGCCGAATTATCATAATACATGCTTCAGGAGGCCGACGCGTTGGATGAACCTTCATGACGCTGTTTCCGACAAAATCTAACCTACATTCTCAGGTGTTTCTCGCCAGATATTTGAAGATCCTGATTGAAGAGTTTGTAGGAGTACACCAAGTTGTACCGTGAGTGCAGCACACTACATTTGTCCACATTGAATCACAGTAGATTTTGGATTGAGCACGCGTATGTCTTAACCGATCAGTTTGAAGTACGGTGATCCCATTAGGTGTATTTATCTCCCCCCACAGCGTGATATCTTTGGCATAAACCAGACAAGGTGGGCTTATGAGACGTGAACGGAACCAAATGGAATCATGTACCGTGCTGACATGATCATCTATGAGCGCACATTTAGGGTCAATGCGGAAGTACAGAACCAACCAACCACCTTTGCTAGGTTGATCGTGCCGAATGGTGGACATGTCACAGTACCATCTCCATGTCACTTTTGTCAGGACGTAGCCATGTATCCATTATTGCAAGGAAGTCGCAGGCTGTTGTTCCTTGAGACAGCCACATTGCAGAAAGATTACTCAGTAAGCCTTTACCGTTAGTGTTCATAAAAAGTTGCTCGGAAGCCAACATCTGTTGATTACGAGCAAGTAAATGATATGGATTTGTGCCGACCGGTGAGAGGCCCGCAACTAATCGTTTTTGAACGAAATGTTAAATATCGATAAAAATGGGATCCGTTTTTGGTCTTACTCGCATCTGCGAAATGTAGTCCATCAGCAGCGTACTCGATGGCAACGGGTCTTAGCGCACAGATTTCTAAATCGCTGTTGTGTTTATATTGGGTAGCTGGTGGGGTCGTTTCCGCAAGAACAGTGATTGGCTGCGGCTCTTCAGTAGTAGATATGAAACAAGTGTGTTGCGTAGTATTTGCCAACTACGGATGGAGTTCACGGCCAACTGTTTTGACATCACCGTTAGTTTTAGTCTCCCTGGGCTAATACCTCCAGTGTTTGATGACACGGGTAACTGTGTAATCAACTAATAAACTAAAGTATAAAGTCTGCCGCGCAGAAAGCATCACGGATGTAACGGTATTCTTCCAGGACATAAGCATGGACTTCTTCGCTGGTTGTCGGTAGCTCGGGCACGCCATGAACGAAAATAGTTAGTTTACTACATTTGTTGTGGTGATCTTTTGATTTATGTATGTACTGCGGATTTTGAGCAGTTCTCCGAGCTGGATAATTATTTTGCAGACGTTTCGTTGCCTGACTAGGCAACATCATCAGTGCGGCTTCAGGGGCCTGGTTCGAAGTGTCTCGTAAGCGACTTCAATGTCCAAGTGCTTATTAATCGAGTTCTCTTTTGAATGCCAGGCTTCAATGAATTCACGTGCTTGCCGGCTTTTAGCAGCTGAGACGGGCAGAGGAAGATCATCTCTTCAATCTGTTCAAGCGGAACTCGTACCCAAAAGGCTTCATTCTACGCTGCCTCGCACCAGGAAAGGTTGCTCGAGACACCTCGACGAATGCAACAACTGAAAAGAGAACAACACTGCCCTATATCAGCGGTATCTCTGAAATGGCAGCGAGGCTTTTATTGCCTTTTGGAGTCAAAGTTGCACACCAGCCAACAGAAACAATTCGCAGTAAACTCTTCAAAGTAAAAGATAAACTTAGCAAAGAAGAAGAAACTGGTGTGATTTATAAGATCTGCTGCCGGAACTGCGACAAATACTACGTGGGACAGACTGGGAGGAAGCTTGGCACAAGGCTACACGAACACAGCCTAGCCATACGTCGCCACGACCAGAACTCCCTGATGTCAGTGCATATGGATGCTGAAAACCATCAATTCGACCTAGAGCACGCCAGTATCCTCGGAAGGGCTAAAAGCCGGCAAGCACGTGAATTCATTGAAGCCTGGCATTCAAAAGAGAACTCGATCAATAAGCACTTGGACATTGAAGTCGCTTACGAGACACTTCGAACCAGGCCACTGAAGCCGCACTGATGATGTTGCCTAGTCAGGCAACGAAACGTCTGCAAAATAATTATCCAGCTCGGAGAACTGCTCAAAATCCGCATCCACACCCCGAGCTAAAGATATTCTCATTTATTTCAAATATGTATGTACTACTAACGTATGCTTCATGGAACATCTGGAATTATACCTGTCCAAGTGTTTTCAGTCAGCAGGTGGTATAACAACTAAAGCACCAGCTACGTAACATCTGTTGATCCAAACTTACTCGTATTAGCCTGGACTCATCGTAATGAATCCAAGTTGGATGCCTCTTGATGCGGATTAAATTAGTCGGCCTGGCTTAAATCCTGATTCCATCACAAAATACTTCCATTACTCTAAATCATCTAGCTGTCTACCCTTAAGCAATTTGCCTTGGAGGCAGGAACGTTAGTGCATATACATGTAAAGGCCTCGTAGGTTTGCTTGGTCTTTAGTGATTTAGGGACCACCGTTATCGGGAGATTTATTGACGTCACTGCAAGTAGAATCTGGTCCTTAACCTATTCTGCTGAGGTACTGGATTAGGCTACTAAGGTCGCACTTTGTTTAAACCTAGCCGCAACAGTTGCATAGGTGGATCGGTTGGTAGAGCGCTCGGAAGGGTGTGTGGTAACTATGTCGCATCATCCGATACATTCGATAAGAGGATGTGTGGGAAAGGGCTTATGCACGCTTCTATCGGACGTGACGATGAATTGGATCTTAGTTCCCAGGGTTACTAGTACTGCGTGACCGTGCAAAAGCCTGGCCCTTTTCCTTGCTTTCGAAGCAGAAATTGAGGGAGACGGATGAGGTGCAAGTTGTGCTATTGTCGCCTTGTGCAAAGCAATTTTTCATTTAAATGATGTTCAGTTTTGGCGAATAGGAAGTCATATTTGTGTGGTAAAGCTGGTACGCATTATACAAGAGGAACCCTCCTGTACTTTGGACGAAGCCAAAGCGAATTCGGCGTATTGTACTTCATTATATCGGTTCCACAGACCTTGTCGTACTTCGAATGGTAGCGGTGTTGGCAATTTGTAAAAGTGCTTTTCTTTTACTAATTTAGCACACGTTTTAGTAGAACAAACTACTTTCTTTCGGGTTACCGGTGTGGCGGTCATGATGGCAGATTGCTGTAGAACAATTCCAAGATGATGGACAGAGACGGCATTTGGGCTAATAAATGAGATTTCCGAAAGCAGCCAGAGAATTTTTAACAAAGTGCCACAGATTAAAAAATATGCCAACGGAATATACTGTTACAAACTTTACAAAGAAGAAACTCGTACACCTAAGTAATCTCGAATCAAAACTAGAATCCGGCACGGTAATGCCAAAGCTCGTGGCTTTCGTGGGTACAGAGAACAAAAATTAATCGTTCCAGCGGCTCACGTTACCAAATCCAGAAATGCATTAGTGGCGCCTTTCGCCCTATTGTGGCTCGTCAGTAATGCTCACCGCTTGGACTCCTACTAGAGACCGTTAGTAGCTAAGGTCAACTATGAACAACGCATGATCGCGTAAGAAATCAAATGCTTGACAAGCCCAGTAGAATAGTTGGGGTGAGTAAAATAAATGAAAAATCTATGTGTGTCATCTACCCAGCTTGTAATGATATAAATGCGTCCAAAGACAAAGTTAGTCTAAAATTAAATTTGCTACTTAGCATGTAAAAGTACTTTAAACTTGAGAAAATTAAGATATTCTCGCCCATTAAATACGCCATTTTATTCCATATGACTCATCCTGTTGAAGGACATGACAACTGTAAGTCGAAATTGCGTAGTTTAAGTAAAGAAATGCTAGGAACGATGAGCAATATCTAACAGTATTTTAAGCATCAAAGTAGTATAGGATACAACAGAATCTTTGAGTGCGTTCCAGAGTTTGCAAATACGAAGGCCGTAATTACATCGACACTCTGGAGTGGTATGTTGTTTTCTTTAATTTTAAGTAAATAACTGCTCCGCGTGCTGTGGGGGCATACTTTATTGTAGTCACTCATTATTAAGTAAGCTGATATGAGATCGCCTTTGCAGCCTCCGATAGCGTCCGCTGTAATCTCCCATCAAGAGCAAATTTGGATGGTAAGTGTGATGGCGCAGGCCTTTTTCATTCGTTGTTGCTCTTCGTTGTGTTGTCTCTAATGCCTCCACGTCTCACTTCAACCAAGCTTGGATAGCGTAATTAACATGAAGTCGAATGTAGCAAGTGTGGGCCATCTGGAAGTTTGATGGGTCACGTCTACCGAATGCCGTTCGCAGTATGCCGACGAGCCGGCTGCCACTTTTCGAAGCTACCTCAGCCGGTTTGAACGGTTGAGATCACTCTGTACACGCACACCAAGGTCATGTTCCTGGAAAGCTGGTGTGCAATAGTGTGCCCTAAGCAAATGAGTGTAGTCATATCTCTGGCGTAACTGTACAACGCTACAATTGTCTACGTAGAATAGCTGCACTTTCTGAACTGCTTATTTCAAAGTTGTGTTAGGATTGCAATGGATCCGTACCCCGTAAGTCCGGTTCTACGATCTTTTGAATATATTCGTATTCTTCGCGAAAAAATGAATATGGAAAGCAAGTGATCTCGCCAGGTTGTTAATAAATGCCAAGTATAGACGTGGCCAAAGCACCGAGTCTTTTTGTACATCCCTATCCACATCAGTAGCATCGGACAGGAATTCTCGGACCCTCAATTCCAACCGACGTTGGTGTATGGCATTGCTTGGCCAAATCAGGATTTGGTCATTAATTCTATAATAACAGAAGAGTAGTAGGGGGAGTTGAATGGTATAGGTAGAACTTCGTCACATCTAGGCTCACTCAGACAGCCGCCACAAGCCCGGAAAAGCACTGTACGCGCGTTTCATCCTTTCGGGAATCATCAGCAGTGCGCATTCCATATTGGATAGTGAGCGGCGCTATATCACATCTAGTAACTTATTCACGATGGTCGTTGCCGTCCCCCGTAGCTCAGTGGTCTCAACCACGGACTGGCAACAGTCGAGTTGCGGTTTCGAGCCCTACCAAGGGTCCGATGGAATGCGCACTGCTGATGATTCCCGAAAGGATGAAACGCGCGTACAGTGCTTTTCCGGGTTTGTGGCGGCTGTCTGAGTGAGCCTAGATGTGACGAAGTTCTACCTATACCATTCAACTCCCCCTACTACTCTTCTGTAATCAGTACGCCGAACAAACTGCTTATAATGCCATAAGATAATTGGCGGCTTAAGTTTGTTAAGCTCGTCGCTTGGTGAGGGGGCTACCCTGTCCTATGCACGGCAGTAACGTGTAAGTCAGTGGATAGTGAGCGGCGCTATATCACATCTAGTAACTTATTCACGATGGTCGTTGCCGTCCCCCGTAGCTCAGTGGTCTCAACCACGGACTGGCAACAGTCGAGTTGCGGTTTCGAGCCCTACCAAGGGTCCGATGGAATGCGCACTGCTGATGATTCCCGAAAGGATGAAACGCGCGTACAGTGCTTTTCCGGGTTTGTGGCGGCTGTCTGAGTGAGCCTAGATGTGACGAAGTTCTACCTATACCATTCAACTCCCCCTACTACTCTTCTGTAATCAGTACACAGAACAAACTGCTTAT